AAGAGGAAGAAAATGGCGGTTGGTAGAATCAAAGAGAGTGGACCGAACGAGTCTCGGAGAATTTCACACGGGAAGTCGTCACTCTTTCTTTTTCTCTCAAAAAAGAGAGTGAGAGAGAGAGAGAGAGAGAGAGGATTCTTTTTACAGACGCGTCTTCGTTCGCGCCTCACTTCGACACCCGCTGACATCGGCAAGATTGAAAACGGTCACCCAACTAACAAGCTCTCAGCAGTCAACGTACCTTTCCTATCGACTTTTCAAATCCGACATTTGATCCTTCGAGCTACGAAGTTAGCTGCCCAATTTTTGTACATCGACTAGAATAGCAAAAGAGAAAAAAGAAAAATAAAAGAAAGTTGCCCGAGTTCTTTTCGCGTACAAAAGTGTCGCGTACAAAATGAAGTATGGTCGCTAGGTTAGAATCAATTTGCTATGGTTTGCTATTGGTTTCTTTCTTCTCTCGATGGAATCTAAATACAGACTGAATCAACAAACTCTATTCGATTATCAATTATTTATTTCTTATTTTGAAAATTACTTTCTATGTATTTTTGTCTATATAAGAGTAAGATGATTTTTATTTTATTTACGACTAAATGCAAATTAACTTTCGAGGGATTTTCATTATCCCCAAAAATCATGGACGATATTCGGAGTATATAAATTGTTGCTGACTCAGCCTATGCTTCTCAAAGATAGATAGAGAGAGAAAGGTTATTATAAAGTTTAAGCGGAACGAAGTCGATCTCGTCTTCTTGTAAAAGGAACCCGACGAGGTATCGAGATAATCTAGAAAGATAACTTCGACGTACATACATACATACATACATAGAGATCGTTAACGATCTGCCAAGCGGATCGTTGGCGGAAAGCTCAGAGGGCGTTTACCTTCGGTGCGAAGAATGGTTTCCGGTGTGGAAGATGCGAAGGGTAACGAACCACAGTATCCGGTGTCCAGATGCTCGTATCCGTTTACCATTCGTACACGGAGGGTGGTCACGTTATCCTCCTCCTCCTCCTCCTCCTCCTCCA